CACCTCAGCCTCCCAAAGGCGCGGGATTACAGGCTGAGCCACCGAGCCCGGCTGGTTTAAAATATTTTTTTAAAACAAAACAAAAAACTCTGTACATTTGTTTTAGACATATCATAAAATTAATTCATTAATGCTTATCATTAATTCTTGTTTTTCTGGCAGTGAGTTTTTTACCACTGACTTCATAACTTCATTTGTGCTGATGGCTTCTGTCTCCTCCTTCCCCATGTATCAATTACTGTTCTCTTGGGTCTTCTTGATTTAGTTTTCAGTTTTTGATTCAGTATAACAGTTTCCTTCTACAACCAAATATTTTTAGAATTAAGAATTTCCTCCTTTATCTCCCTTCTGCCTTTTTTTCCCTGCAAATAATTTTTTTCTTTTTTTAAATTGATAACAATTTATCATAGTTCTGGAGGCTAGGAATTCCAAGATCAGGGTGCCAGCATGCTCCGGTTCTGGGTGGGGTAGAGCTCTCTTCTGGGTTGCAGACTGTCATCTTCTCACTGTATTTTCTCAGGGTGGAAGGCAGAATTACTTCCTTGAATAGCATTTAATTGTTAAGTCACTTAGGTTTTAGTTGTTTGGATAGGTTTTTGCTCCTTGATTTTCTCCAAATATTATTTTGATTTCAAAGTTTAGACTAAACGGAGAACTGTATCCATGACTTGTTATTTACCATTGAGTATCCATGGGGTGTTAGATGGTTTAAATAGCAAGTTAGTTTTCAGTATTGTTTTAGACTCTGGGAGTTTAAGTTTTCTAGAGTAAGTTTTCTAGATTAATTTCTTTTTTTTTTGAGTTGAAGTCTCACTCTGTCGCCCAGCCTCGACCTGCTGGGCTCCGGCGATCCTTCTGCCTCAGCCTTCCGAGTAGCCGGAATTACAGGCGCGCGCTACCACGCCCAGCTAATTTTTTGATTTATTGTAGAGGTGAGGTCTCGCCTGCCCAGGCTGGTCTCGAACCCGCGGGCTCAGGCAGTCCACTCACCTCAGCCTCCCAAAGGCGCGGGATTACAGGCTGAGCCACCGAGCCCGACCGCAAAGGTGGTTTTTAAGAAATGAGATCTTCATGCCATTTAATGAAAGTCTGAAAATAGCTGGGCTTTGCAGCTCAGCCTGCAATCCCAGCACTTTGGGAGGCAGAGGTGAGTGGATTGCCTGAGCCCGCCAGTTTGAGACCAACCCGGGCAACTTGGTGAAACCTCATCTCTACAATAAAATAATAAACAGCCAGGCATGGTAGTGCATGTCTGTAGTTCTGGACTACTCGGAAGACTGAGGTGGAAGCATCGTTGGAGCCCAGAAGGTTGATGCTGGGGTGGCCGTGAGCGTGCATGCCACTGCACTCCAGCCTAGGCAAAGGAGTAAGACTCCAACTCAAAAAAAAAAGTCTGAAAAGTTTCCTGAATGAAAGATGGGATTCAATAGAGATGTGGTTGCAGAAATAAAATCACCTTAGAAGATAAGACTTCCTACCTACTTGGACTATTTTGTTATCAAGAGAGGTATAGAGCCTGAAGTAGAAAAGACTTGGTGTTGAATCCAGTAAACAGTGCAGAATACTAGCAGTGTGGAGTGCTGTCTGCAGTAAGAAGAATGAGATAAATCTATAAGCACTGGCATTTTTGGAAAGATCTCATTAAATAGAAAAATGCCATAGAACTATGTATACAGTAGGATCCCAATTTATAAGGGTTTTTTTGTTTGTTTGTTTTGTTTTTTGAGTCGGAGTCTCACTCTGTTTCCCAGGCTCAAGTGCAGTGGCATGCTCACGGCCACTGCAGCCTTGACCTGCTGGGCTCAGGTGATCCTTCCGACTCAGCCTTTCAAGTAGCTGGAACTACAGGCAGGCACCACCATGCCCAGCTCATATTTTTTGATCTATTATAGAGATAAGGTGTCGCCAAGTTGCCCAGGCTGGTCTTGAACCTGTGGGCTCTCTCACCTTGGCCTCCCAAAGTGCTAGGATTATGGGTGTGAGCCACCTCACCCGGCCTAGAAGTAATTTTTAAAAATATTTTCAACTGGCAGAGGCATAGCCATAGTTCTACTTCCAGTCTCTTATGCAAATTTCTATTTAGAGAGCCTTCAATAATTTATCTCTAAGAAGTATCATACCATTTCCTTTATACTATCTCATTCAGGAAGCTTTGTAGGGGGAAGTATATAGCAGGAGGGAAAATGTTAAACAGACTAAGGTTCAGCTTATTATCTATCTTGTATTTTTGTTTTCTTTTTTGAGTCAGGGTGTCACTCTGTCACCCAAGCTGGAGTGCAGTGGCACAATCACAGCTCACTGCAGCCTAGAACTCCTAGGCTCAACCAACCCTCCCACCTCAGCCTCCCGAGTAACTGGGACTATAGGTGCACACCACCATGCCTGGCTAATTTTATTTTATTTTTTTAGAGACGAGTTCTAACTATGTTACCAAGGCTGATCTTGAACTCCTGGGCTCAAGCAGTCCTCCTACCTAGGCCTCCCAAAGTGCTGGGATTATAGGCATGAGCTACCAGCCCAGCCTCTTTTGTATTATTCTTGGGAAATTTTGGTTGTTGTTGCTATGAAGCCCTATATAAGACCAGTCAACAGATTCTAGGTTAATGGCAAAACCTGACATTTGGGCATTCAGCTGGGAAAGTTAGCTCAATGCATTAACTGTTGGTTAAATCTTATACCCAGAAGCTGTTCTGCAGCTGCCATTCACACCATTAACTCTAGCCAGCAGTTTACTACTGCAAGAAAAGATGCATTTGGTGAAAGAAAATGTGGACGTATCATCACAAATCCATCACCACATTTTTACGTACCTTAAACATAAATTCAGTTTTTATATCCCTAACTTAATAGCAGCTTCTTACTTTTATTTTATTTCATTTTTTATTTTTTTGAATTGGAGTCTTACTCTGTCACCCAGAGTGGAGTGCAGTGGCACACTCACAGCCACCGCAGCCTTGACCTGCTGTGCTCAGGCAATCCTTCTACCTCAGCCTTCCAAGTAGCTGGAACTATAGGCACGCGCTACTACACCTGGCTTATTTTTTGATTTATTGTAGAGATGAGGTCTCACCAAGTTGCCCAGACTGATCTCAAACCTCTGAGCTCAGGCATTCTTCTTGCCTCAGCTTCCCAAAGTGCTGGGATTACAGGTTTGAGCCACCACACCCAGCCTTGCTTATTTTAAATAATTTTGGCTTATTTTTCCATGCGTCCAGTGAAGAATATAGATAAGCAAGGAAAACACAAGCGTTACCCTTAAGCTCTTCCCATTCATCCCATGGTAACTGCTGTCAACGTTTAACAGAGACAAAGAATAAGCCTGGTGAGTTGAACAAAGAGAAGGACACGCAGGGAGTTCTCTAGAGAGTACATGACACATAGGAAATGAAGAAGCAGGTGGAGAAGTGTTATCCAGGAGTCCCTGGGTGGGAGAGCAATCGGTGTATAAGTGTTTTCCAATCTGGAAGTCTCTGGGGGTTCATTTCATTTTGAAGCAAATCATAACCTAAGATTGATAAGATAAAACAGAATCATGAAATCCTTGCTTGTGTGATACATGCCTCTCATTAGATCCTCTTAGTGGTTTCACAGTGGTTAGGTTGAGAACAGAAGACAGTTAATGTCTTTTACTCAAACCCTTCATTCCTCATCATACAGCAAGATCCTTGATTTCTTTTGATAACTGTGTCATTCTAAAAAAAAAACACCAACACACTTTTTGGAGAAGTCTAGGATTCATCTCAGCTCTGAGCTGATACAAACTTTGCAGTTACTGTGAGGTTTATATGAGCAAACCAGAGTCCTCTAATTGTATATTTTGACTTATTATCTTAATGCTATTATGATAAATGCTCTCATTTCTGTGTCCTGTTAGGAATTCAGCAGTATTTCTTCTAAATCACTTTTGACCTAGTATGACTCACACTTACTATATTAATAATATTATTTCTTAGGCGTGAGTGGAAGAGCAAAGTAAAGTGCTTTATGAAACTCAGACGTCTTGGGAAAATAGTATATCTTACTTAGCAGCCCTGTATTATAGCACTTTTAAAGAGTTTTCAAATAGTTTTTGGGAAAAGGAAGAAGCCCAAATTGTTAAATACGTTGGAATGATTGACAGGAGAGAATTAAATCTGGTGCAACTTTAAAAAAGAATCCTCTCTTGCCTTGTGTTCTTGGCCGGAGCAGTTTTTTAGGGAATGGCTTTCTAATTCCTTTCTTTTCCAGATTGCAAAAGTCGAGAAGCTCAAACCATTGGAGGTGGAGCTGCGCCGCCTAGAAGACCTTTCAGAGTCAATTGTGAATGATTTTGCCTACATGAAGAAGAGAGAGGAGGAAATGCGCGATACCAACGGTGAGAGGAAGGCAGCTCTTACTTCTCAGAGAGACCCGTCCCCAAACTTTAAATTCCATTGTACATTAAGCAGTGTTGCCAAAGGGGGCTGTGGGGAAGGAAAGTTGCTTCACTGTTGATACTGCTAAAGGTAAATGAGCCTTGTGAGACTTCCAGAATAGAAACTTCCATGATGAGCAGTTGACTATCTCCTTGGTTAGCTTCTACCAAATCGATGGCACCAAACTTCATATTTTTAGCATTTATATATAGGATACTGAGCTTTTTAATGAGTTATCGGAAATTTTGTTAGACCTAGGGAAAGAGTGAAGGGCATTAATGTTTAGCCAGCTGAGGAGGCTTACTTCATTTTATTTACAGTGCTTTTGGTTTTTTAGAGTCAACAAACACCCGGGTCCTATACTTCAGCATCTTTTCAATGTTCTGCCTCATCGGACTAGCCACCTGGCAGGTCTTCTACTTGCGTCGCTTCTTCAAGGCCAAGAAGTTGATTGAGTAATAAGAGAGGTGCGCTTTCCTCCCACCTTGTATCTCAGCCAGCAGGACATCGCTGGGACATGCCTGGCCTAAGGCATCCTGCCAACAGCACCATCAAGGCACATTGGAGCTTTCTTGCCAGAACTGATCTCTTTTGGTGTGGGAGGACAAGGGGTACCACCTACAGCCAACAAGTCAAAGAGGGACTTCTTTTTAACTTCGTAGGATTTGGACTGGTTTTGCAACAACAGGGACTATTATTAGAGTCACCTATGACAAAAAATAACAGGGGTTACCTAGGTAATGCCAGAGCCAACATTTGTACTGGTTTCCTCATATGATCTGTTAGAACCATACTTCTTTCCTTCTCCCATTTGCTCCCCAGCTTGGGTTTCTGCTCCATTTCTTTTTCCAAGAGTTGTGCGACCATGTTGAGCTGGTTTTATTCTGATTGTCCTCTTTGGGTTTCCTTGTGAAAACACTCTTCACCTTCTCTTGGCCTTTAGTTGAAATGTTTACCTAGCTTCTGGTGATGTCTTTTTATAATTTTATGTCTCTTAGAAGGGTGATGGATGTGATGCCTCATAAAAGGGAGCTTTGACCTGTATATAACGCCTAAAGAAAATTTCATTTTAAACAATTAAAATATTTGTGCTCAACTGTTGAACTTTTTTTTTTTTAACATATGTGTGTTTAGTTCTGTGCAATGTAATTGCATGTGTAGATTCATATGGCCACCATCACAAGAGACAGAATAGTTCATCACAGGGATCCCTCGTGTTGTCTTATAGCCATGCCCACCTCCCATCCATATACCCTCACCCTAGCCACTGGCTACCACTAATGTCTTTTCCATCTCTATAATTTTGTCATTTCAGGAATGTTATATAAATGGAATTATATAGCATGTAACCTTTTGAGATGAACTTTTGTCACTCAGTGTAATTCTCTTGAAATCAATCCAAGTTGTTACATGTGTCAGCAGTTTGTTCCTTTTAATTTCTGAGTAATATTCCATGGTATGGATGTACCACAGCTTGCTTAAGGATATCTTAGTTTTCAGTTTGGGGCCCTTACTAATAAAGCTGCTGTGAAAATTCATGTACAAGTTTTTATGTGAACATAAATTTTCATTTCTCTGGGATAAATGCCCAAAAGGGCAATTGCTGGGTTGTGTGGTAAATACATTTATTTTTGTAAGAAACTGCCCTACTCCTTTTCCAGAGTAGCTGTACCATTTTATGTTTCCACCAGCAGTGTATGACTGATGCAGTTTCTTCACATCTTCACCAACACTTGGTATTACTTTTTTTTGTTTTAGCCATTCAGATAGGTGTGTGTAGTAGTATCATATATGGTGTTTTTTGTTTTTGTTTTTGTTTTGAGTCGGAGTCTCACTCTATCGCCTAGGCTTCAGTGAAATGTGTTTTGTCTTTTGCCTGTTTTCTATTTAGATTGTTCTTTTTACTGTTGAGTTTTGAGAATTTCCTGTATGTTCAAGATACAAGTTCTCTGTCAGATGTGTGGTTGCTTGAATTTTTTTTTTTTTTTTTGAGTTGGAGTCTCACTCTATCGCCTAGGCTGGAGTGCAGTGGTATGCTCACAGCCACTGCAGCCTCAACCTGCTGGGCTCCAGCGATCCTTCCGCCTCAGCCTTCCGAGTAGCCGGAATTACAGTCATGCGCTACCACGCCCGGCTGGGGTTTTTTAATTTATTGTAGAGATGAGGTTTCGCTGTCCAGGCGGGTCTCGAACCCGCGGGCTCAGGCAATCCACTCACCTCAGCCTCCCAAAGGCGCGGGATTACAGGCTGAGCCACCAAGCCCGGCTAGTTGCTTGAATTTTTAACATAATTTCCACCAAGGAAAAATAAGTAAAATTTGTCTGTTCTTTGTACATGGCTAGTCACCGGCTTCATTTCTGTCCTTATGTGTTCCATCTAGAGAACTAAGAGTTATGAGGCATATAATGTATTAAGATATATATTTTTTTTAAATGGAGAGCTGGGGCATAAAATAGACATCTAGGAAGGTCATGAAGAGAGTAAATACTTACAAATTCATGTTGTGAAAGCAAAGCCGAGAGTCACAGTGGGAATAAAAGATGCCTAAAGGCTAGTGCTATTATCAGCAAGAGAAAATGGATACAAATGACCATGTTCATAAACAGTCATGAAAAATACCATTGCTCTAAATCTTTCCCACATCTTCCAGAAATGCAGGTAGGAGTTTTTCCTTCCTGCAGTCTCTTTTTAACCCTCCTGTAATGGGGCTTGTCTAATCACGGTGGCAAAAACTGCATGTGAAGAAGCAGAATTTTGGAATTATCAGAGAGCACTGTGTGTTGATCTGGATAAAGTACAAAGATTGAAAAGGAAGTAAGCTAGTATTACAGCTACTGTGAACCCCAGACGCCTTTTTCCTTCTTTTGACTCCTGTATATTCCTCGTGTGGCATAAAAGTAGATCTGTCCTTAGCTGGTACAACATTGCCATCTACTGTTGAGAATTGATGAGTATAGCTCCTGAGAACCTGGCAGCAGATGTTAAGAAAGTCCATCGTAGTATCACATGATACTAAATTACAGAGGATGCATCCAAGTAAGGAGAATAAAATATATGGGTTTAGATCCATCCTTAGACCTTTAGATGTGAAATCCTATTCTGTACCATTAGCCTAACAAGATACTCTTTCATTTCTGACTGGTGCCTTTTCCCCTTTTTAGAGCAATGACTCTGTTAGTTATAGTCTTCTGATCTGGCAAACGATCACAGAAGACAACAGGAGAAGTAAATATTTTGTTTATGTTTCTGTGCCCAAGTGTGACTCTAAACTTAAGCTTTGAGGATCTGAAATTCTTCCCAGTCCCTTCCTTTCACTCATGCCAAAATTACCAACTTAGATATTTGTGCTTTTGGTTTAAATTATTTGACATGATACCTTGATTTTCTCTAGAAAGTAGAAGTATTTGCCTTTGACAAAAGACTGGTACAAGAGCTTTAAAAACAGGGTTGTCATCTGCTTTTCTCCATGTTTGAGCATATTATTCAAAATGGTCTGTACAGTATAAATGAGCATGATACAATTTAAGTAAGCTTTGTTATGCCATTGTCATGAACCCCTGTCAGAAAGCCACTTTTCTTTTTATTTAGGAAAGAGGCACATGGGATTCATATAGATTCACTTGTAAATGTTGGATTGGGGATTTTTGTGTAAATTTTCTCAAATAAAAGCTAGCAGAAACCATTTTATATGTATTTTTCTGTTATTCTTGAGTACTTCTATATCTGGATTGGAAATAATTCCTTCGTATTTGTTTTAAAGTATGACAAATGATACCGATGGACTAGGAAAAAAATGTTGCCCTTAACTTACTCCAGGTGTATAAAGTTTATATGAGTAAAAGTTTATTGTGTTTTTTATACAATAAGAAGCCTTAATTATACATTCTTGGAGCAAATATGGTTCTGTAAGCCAGGTATTTTCTTCTCTGTATCTTCTCTCTTTTGGAAACTGTCATTCCTACAGGGAGACTTCTCCCTTGCCCTCTGTTCCTAAAATGCCTTTCCTAATTTAGAGCCCCTTGGGACTTGCTTTATGAGCCCATCACATTCATGCAGAGCCCCACCCCAGGAGGCAGAGGCCATTTCCTCCTCTCCCTTCACTTACAGTTGAACATTTTTCACAAAGCTGCTTTCTAAGAGCCAACATAAAGTGCTTAGCTGGCCTCTTATTTACCCTCCAACTTCCTCCATTCTCCCAAAAAGCAGATAAAACGTATTAGTGAGTCCGTAAACATCAAAATGTTTTGCTTCTCACTGATGTTTTACTGTTAGAGTATGAATAATGAATGAATTCAACAAAACTTATACATGAACTTAATAGTCTTAATAGTATAGTTACAAACTTAAATGGTTAATATGTATTGTTTTATAAATTAATTTCAGTCTGCTACCGTGGTGTTCCATCTAATGTGAGCTGCATGTGTAATTTTAAATTTTCTAGTACCACATTAATAAGTAAAAAGAGGCTGGGCTCAGTGTCTCAGCTTGTAATCCCAGCACTTTGAGAGGCCAAGGAGAGTGGATTGCCTGAGCCCGCAGGTTCAAGACCAGCCCGGACAACCTGGTGAGACCTCATCTCTACAATAAAATAAAATAAAAAAGAGCTAGGCATGGTAGTGCGCATCTGTAGTTATGGCTACTTGGAAGGCTGAGGCAGAAGGATCGCTGGAGCCCAGAAGGTTGACGCTGGGGTGGCCGTGAGCATGCGTGCCACTGCACTCCAGCCTGGGCCAAGGAGTGAGACTCCAACTCAAAAAAAAGTAAAAAGAAATAGGTAAGCTGGGCTTGGTGGCTCAGCCTGTAATCCCGTGCCTTTGGGAGGCTGAGGTGAGTGGATTGCCTGAGCCCGCGGGTCCGAGACCCGCCTGGGCAGCAAGACCTCATCTCTACAATAAATCAAAAAATCAGCCGGGCATGGTAGCGCGCGCCTGTAATTCCGGCTACTCGAAAGGCTGAGACAGAAGGATCGCCGGAGCCCAGCAGGTCAACGCCGCGGTGGCCGGGAGCAGCCACTGCACTCCAGTCTGGGTGACAGAGTGAGACTCCAACTCAAAAAAAAAAAAAAAGAGGTAAAATTAATTTTAATAATACATTTAACCTAATATACCCAAAATATTATTTCAACATGTAGTTAATATAAAAACATATTTTTCATTGTTATATAAATCTCTGAAGTCCAGTGTGCATTTTAAGCTCTCTGTTCAGACTTGCCACGGTTCAGGTGTTCAGTAGCAACATGTAGCTAGCAGCTACTGTAGCATACAGTGAAAGCAAAGACATTGCTTGGCCTTTGGTAGATTCTTTCATCTTTACACTAACTCAGTTGTCCCTGGGAATCTGCCATTCACAACAATGCTGTTACAACATCTCTATTTCCTTGTTAAAATGTGAAAGTAGTCTGTTTTTTATCAAAAGCACTTTAGAGTCAATTATTCCTTTAGAATAAATGTTGAATGTTTCTGGACTTATGAAGATTCGAAGGTCAGTTAATTAGGTTTGGTTATATCCAGTATAATGAAGAATTCAGCATGAGTCTATTCTGTAATAGGACATTTTATCTGTTAAACTTATTGCATCTATGCATTATCACTGTAACAATTCAATTTCAGGTCAACTAAGTTATAGAAAACTATCTAGTTCCTCGCTGCAAGAGTGGCAGAGAAGTGAATTTTTAAGCTTCAATTGAAATGTATTCAGCCTCTCTGAAAGTCAACACTTCTGACTCTAAGTCATTGTTTTTCCATGCAAAAATTTTTTGAGCATCTATTCTGTTTAACAGAATTAAGATTTAAGCCAAGCTAAAATCTGGAGTATATCCTAATAAACAAGAGGGTAATACCTAAACTCAGAGTGCCTTCTAATTAATAGGAGGATATAGATGGAGTAGCCTCAATATGGAATGATCTCTCTACTATACTTTTACCCATCACTAGACTTAACATTTTTGAAATTCCTCCAGGGAAATGTCACTCACCCAGCAAGGCTGGCTTGGAAAGATACCCTTTCTAGAATCTTGAACTTTATTTTTTGAGTGGGAGTCTCCTTCTGTCGCCCAGGCTGGAGTCCAATGGCACACTCATGGCCACCACAGCCTCGACCTGCAG